ACTTACTGCTGGTTTTGTGGTGGTTCATGCGGTGAAATCAAGCTGGGTATGTCTTAGATGTAGTTCTGGCTGTGAACACCGGTCCTGTAATCATAGTGGATTTGGAGCTTTAGCTTAGTACTTCAATAAAACAACAACAACAACACCCACAATTTTTTCAAGTTCGAATATTCACCCTTTCCCCCCCTCTCGCGCTCGTCGAATTCCTTCAATAAATTATCATCGAGTTGCTGGCATTTTAACCATGCCTCCAGTTCGCAAAAAGTGTCCCAACGCCAAGTTGGACAACACGATAGTCTACCCGAGGGCTCTCGAAAAACCACCTAGCCTTGCCCAGTCTCCAAAATACGCGGAGATGAGCAAGGCCTCTACGAAAAGGAAGGAAAAAGCCCTCCCCGCCGTCACTGAGCCCGATACTGACATGATCGGGTCTATTGGAATTGTTGAGAAAATCCCTCAACCACCCTCCGTCCCTCACGGGATTGGAGAATCGTCAAAATCACCTCCGACAGCGTCAAAACCGTCGGATAACGCTGCAGTCAAAGCAGCGCCAAAATCAACGTCGCAGCCAAAAGCTGCCACAAAAGCAGAGTGTCCCCTAGAGCTTCGACCAATTGTCGAAGCTGAACAACGACGCGCCGCCGTAACAGCGGCAAATCTGGCCCTCTGTTCCGCCGCCATCTCTGGCATCGAAGCAACCCTCCTCTCTTTGACAAACGGGTCAAATAGACAATCCGTAAACTCGATGTAAGTCTACCTACGCGCCGCCATAGCGCATTACATGGCCACGGGCCCGTGGCCGGGCCCGGCCACTACGCCACCCGTCCTCCCTCCTCGCCTGGCGAACCCAACCCCAAGTGCTCCAGAAGCCAGGAGCACACCCATTCCCGCCGTCCCAGCTCTGCCTGTGAAAAGCACCTGGGCCACGGTGGCCAGAAATGTAATGCGACAAAAAGCAGTCTCTACTGCGAAGGCTGTGCCGCGACCTGCGGCCAAAGCCCTAAATAAAGAAGCTCCCAAGGCGAAAGTCGACAAACGACTGTTCCTTCGCCTGGAAAAGGAGCACCCCTTGGCGCCAGCTTTCGACTCTCGGAATAAGGCAACAACTACAGATCAGGCTGGAGTGCACCTTGAGTGACGCCTGCTCTATACACCGTGTCAGAACCGGCTTTGCTATTCTGACAGAGAATGAGGAAATAAGGGAAGAGCTCCTAGAGGCTACATCGAAGTTGGCGGAATTCAATGCCAAGTTCGAGGAAGCCTCCAACCTTGTCGCCTTTCGGATCACGAATGTTCCAGTGTCACAGATCAACTATAGAAAGCAAGGAGCATTTGTATGGATGATGGTATTTTATAATTCAACGATGAAGACATAATTTCTACATACTAATCTGGGTATATATATAGATTTATTACATTCTAAGTTCTTCCCTCTATGGTCAGCTCATTTCTTGATAATTCCAGTTGCTACTCTAAGGGTATCATTTCTAGCAGCTTCTCCAAGGTTCAGTATCAGTCTTACTCACATGAAGACTTTTCTAGTCCCTTCTTAGGAGATTCTGGTATCATTTATGTGGTATTTGCGCCTGCCCGTTCTCCGGTGGTTGTACGCCAGTACTTGCTAGTACTGGCTACAGGAAATACCGGCTTTGTAGCCGTTAAATCCAGTGACTATGAGAACGGTCGGCGGTATCTATACGATCGATGGGGAAAGGATCATATATAAGATATACAGGAAAACGCAGCAGTTTCCAACCCAGGTGCTACCGCACGGGACATGCCGTCCTGGAGCGCCGTATAGAAATTGGAAAGCCCTGTTCGCCCGGGACTCCGCCCCTCGCGCGGGCTTCCGTATTCTCGGCGAGTTTGGAGTGGCGACCATTCTAAAGCCTCGTCGAAAAATTGAATAGTGCAAACACTGTTTGGGCTTCCACGTCACCCGTGGTTGCTCCCGTGCTCCAGCCTGCTGGAATTGCGCATCAAATATGCACTCGGAAGACGAGTGCAAGGCCCTCACCAAGTGTCGCAACTGTGGGGGACCTCACCGATCGAATTCGCGGGTCTGCCAAGCCAGACCCAACAAGACAGAACCGATTTTAAAAGAGCAGCTCGAGCGGATCTGTCACATCCAGCAAGGGGAGTTTGTGAAGGTGGCACGAGCTCGGGCAGCAGCTAAAAAAGCCGAAGAGGCGATCATCGCCGTGGCGAAGGATGTCTTGATGGCCGAGGCAACAGGTTTCGGAGTGTTGGAATCTGAAAAAGAAGCTTGAGGACACATCAACCTCGACGATGTCCCGGAAGAGACATCTACTAACCAATAGCAGGATACCGATTGGACCAAAGGTGCCTGCTAACCCATCTTTTGCTCTCAGCGGAGTTGGGCAAATTTGTCATTTGGAAGGTGTGACATACGAGGGAATGTGTGAGGAGCACATTGCTTGGATCTAACATGAAGGAATCTTCTGGTTTTCGGAGTTGTTTTGATTTTTTTGTGATTTTTCGTTTCGGTTTAATCAGCTGTACGTTTGGCAGAGATTCACGACGTTGGAACGAGTTAGGCTGTAGGAAAAATTACAGGGAACCCTGCCGGCTCCACCGGTCCTTGACCCAATGTGGAAAAGATAGCGTTAGCTTAGGACCAAAAATAATAAAACAAAACATGCACATACATACATACATATAACTGTCATTCACAATGTATTCCTCCCAAGTATAACGTATGCTGTCGAGGTCTGGTGGTCAGGCCTTGTGAGAGAAGCACATGGAGGTGTTGTGCAAAATTCCACGGGAAAACAGTGCAAAGCTATTGACCAGGCCACCATGGCTGGGATCCGAGCAGCTTTGTCGACCTGGAGTACCACGCCAAATACAGCTCTAAGGCGAGAGACTAGCATTCCACCGGCACACATTTTCCTAGAAGAACGACGAGCCTAATTCGTGGCCCGAATTAGGAGACTAAAACGTAACCGTCTGTTGCGCATCCTGGCTTTAGAATCAAACGTCGACGCCCGCCTCCGCCTTGGACTACAGGCGTGTGATAGAAGAAAGCCCGGTACTGATCGGATCCAAGATTCCAGGGTGCAAAGGATATTTCGACTCCTGCAGGAATCGGAGCCTCCACCACCTCTACAACCACCCACGCCCGCACATCGTCGACCGTGCGGGACAAGTAAAGAGGAGGCGGCCAAAGCAACTGAAAATTGGATAAGGTCACTACAGCCCGACTGCCCATGTGTATTAAGTGACAGCTCTGGTGCATCTATTGATATGGCCTCATGGGCTTTTGTGACCACTGCTGGGGCACAAAAGCCATTGGCCAGAACGGCTCCGGCAAAATTGCGAATGCAGAGGTCTACAACGCAGAAATCCACGGAGCTATGGCTACCTTCGAGGCAATTAGAGCGAGCAATAGCGACATAAGAGCTTGAGTCGAATACGTTCCCCTAGACAACTCCGCGGCCGTTGAAGCGCTGACTACAAGAAAAACTGTCTCATCTTCTTGGCGGGTGCAGAAGTTTCGGACGATGGCGGCCAAAGCATTCGTGCCAATCACGGTAGGATGGATGCCAGATCACACAGGACTAGCAGGTAACGAAATGGCCGACAAGCTCGCTCGCATAGAGCTCACATCTCCGGACAGCCCAACGATTATGACAGATCAGATAACACTCGCGGCAATGAGGCGCAAATCCCGTGAACTAACGAGACAGCCGCTGAAAGAATAGTGGGACTCAAACCGGCCAAAGCGATATGCGGACCTCAACTTCGAGATGCGGCGACAAAAACCGCCAGAGCTCGCTCTGTCTAGAGCTATCTACGCTCGCCTGATAGCAGCTGGAAAAGGACACGGGCACTTTACGGCATACCGTCGCCGCTTCAACCATACTATAGCCGTGCTTCATTGCGAGTGCGGCAGAGAATATTCAGGTGGCCACCTCGTCCAGTGCAGAAAAGCACTGCCAGAACGGCTGCTGAAAAGCGGAAGATAAAGGGCGCTTGTGAAGGAAACTCTGCTCGGACTAAGGGGCTGGCGACTGCTCAAGTAGTACGTCCAGGATAGCGGAATTTACGCGAACGAAAGTCGGAGTAACGGAGGGGTGACAATGCCAGTCATCTTATGAGAGCGAAACCATTGGTTGTGGAAATTAAATCGATCCAAAAATGAGATAAGGCCCAGGCGCGTGGTGACTGGGACAGAGTGTTGGAAGGGGATAGTTTTCTACATTTTCCCTTTTCTTTTGCATCAAATTTGAATTGTATATGCAGCTATCTAGCTATGACACCACTTTTTTCCTTTGTAAAGCGGGTTTTTGCATGAGAGTTTTCTATAGTCTTTTTTACTCTGGGCTACTGGACTCGTAATTATTCAACACACACATGGGTATCGGCATGGTTCGGGTCATTTAGGTGGGACGAGGCTAACTTGTACTTTTCGGTAGTTAACCTGATCCGGCCCGACCCCATTCGTGCTCAAACTCCAGCAGGAGTGCAGTGGATCTCATACACCTAGCACGTTAATGAACAAAGTAAACAAGACAAATATCCCCATCTTTCAACAGTAATGATTCTAGTTTAGTCTCTCGTCATTGCCGCCTCCAAGATAACCTGCTAGATCACACATATCAAAGATCTACACTCTTCCCAGGCCGTAGATGGGATTTTTGGATGATGCATGAAGTAACGCGTCAGTTAGTTGAGAGCCATCTATTACTTGTACTGGAGATTTTCCATAGTCACAAACGGTTAAAGTTCCCCTAGCGTTACTATATTATTAGAATTCATAAATAAATCTCTAAAATGGTGCGCAAGTGATTTAAATTAAATTTTAAGTCATGTTGAAGACCGGTAAGTATGTAGGGCTTGTATGAATTATGATCATTGGGCGACCTTAAGATAAGTACTGCTGCAAGGATTCTTTATTTTAGGGATTCACGTGTTTTCACAGATTTTCAATATTTTACGTCTAGATCATGCTGATTTTTGATTTTTGGCCTTCAAATCTATTCCTGACTGGCACGCCACAAGCCAAAAGAGCCTGGCGTGTTTTTCCACATTTTGATGGTTCCATCCTCGCTTGCTGTTGCATACAACTTACCGTCAGGCGAGTAACTAATACTCCATACTGGACCATGATGGCCTTTATTAGTTTCTAATTTTGTTAGCCTAGCTCTGAATAGAAGCGGCACTATATTTACCCAACTCTTTCTCAGTATCGTAGTCATAGACGTTTGTCCATATTTCCTTTTGCCAGCCTACGACAAATTTGCGATGGCTTGGGCTGAGTGCGACACTAGCCACTTCCATGGGCAAAGATACAGCTTTTATAAGTGTTCGAGCGTTGAAACCCCCATAAAAGTATACGGTCTTTCCGGCTGCGATGCACAGGACAGGGAGTCCACCTCCAATATCATTGGGCTCTGGTTTTATATTGGTAAACTCACAGGAACCAATAATGCCCTGAACTTCTTGTTCTTGTACAACTGTACGGGTTCTTAAATCCCACCAGCGAATAATTCTATCATCGGCAGCTGTGACAAGTACATTTGGATCTCGAGTCCACACGATTGCCTTGATAGTACCTTTATGAATATTGGGTCCTACCTCAAATCCCTCATCCGCATTTATTGAAGTTCGATTAGCTTTACTGTTGCTTCCATTTGCAACGTTTCCGGTCGGAGGAGAAATTGTGTTGACGCGAGAAATATCAAAAATACGAAGTTTCTTCTCCATACCACCAGTTGCGAGCAGATCTCCAGAGTCTGGCGGAAAGGCAATAGCTCGGACAATGTGCTCATGCTGAATGGTGTAGCGAGTTTCGCCTGAATATGTGTCCCATACCTTGCTAAGTACGTGAGTATAGGCAAAGAATTATCCAATCCAAGGACATACGCAGTGAAATCAGCAGAAGCTGTGGCAGCAACCGAGGCATCAGGAGAGAGTCGACCCTGATATACGGCACCTTTGTGTCCAAAGAAGGTACCAATCCTACCATACGTTAGTAACGACTTTGCCTGCAGAAGATCTCTCAAACAGTACCAATCACCTGTTATACCATCACGAAGCATAGGATTGTTGTCTAGGCTTAATTAGCTAATTCCTAGCTCTCTATTGCCGAATATCCGTGAAGACTAGTCTATCTTCAGTACCTTTACATGCGGAAATAATGTAATATCCATCTTCCCCAACAAGACCAGAGAAACTAATGTGAGTAACCGGACGAGAATGGCCATGACATGTTAACGGAAGACATTGCCTGGGTGTTTCGTTGGTTGTCATTTTACAGTAATGTCCTTTTTGTCTAGGAATTAAAACTTAGTAATAGATTGTCGAAACGATTGGAACTGATAGTGGTCCAGTTTCTATTTTATAGTATAGCAGTTTAAGCGGCGATAACCTAACTTAAAGTATCTGGTAGATTTGTTCCGACGTTACTGGGAGGTACCTTGGATGGAGAATGGAAATCGATTCCAGCTCTATGGCTATGATATAGTATCAATTACTTAAAAATTAGGAGATCATAAGTTTCATTCATAAAAAGGCCATAAATCATTCGGATCTCATAAAAATTTCTGTTGGTCGCTCTGCGAAGTTGAGAGGCTTGATTGACACCCCTCACTTTCGTGAGAAGCCCGCGGGATTACACTTTGACCTTTAAGTTGACAGATCGTGCCATCTCGACCCAGAGTGATGCCTGACGGAATAAGGTTATTCCAGAAAAGGTGTTATAGGGAAAGTTCCTATCTACCATGGGCCCCGCTTTATCGTGCTTTTAACAAAGGACAAGAAAAGCTTGAACAGAGATGACTGAATACAAGCTTTCAGCTACCCTTACCGGTCATGAAAACGATGTTAGCTAGCTCGTTGCTGATTTATAAAAAGCGTGGATATACTGATTATTGCTAATATAGGTCAGAGCCGTGCTACACCCAGCGTCCGAGCTAGTAATATCAGCATCAAGGGATAATACGACGCGACTTTGGCGCAAACAGTCTGATAATAAAGTATCATTCGACTCTTCAATTGCGTCAAAATCCGGACATTGGCTCAATGCTCTTACATACCTGCCACCAAATAATGAATACCCAGAAGGCCTCGTATTTGCTGCAGGAAAAGACCTCATAATCGAGGTTCGACAGCCTTCGAAGGCATCTGATGAAAATGCAGAAGCCCTACTCCTTGGACATAGTAACACCATTTGTGCCCTTGATATTGATCCATCAGGCACATTCGTTGTTAGCGGAGCATGGGATCACGAGGTAAGGATATGGCCAGTTGGGAAATGGGAGTGTGAATCTATTCTAGAGAATCACGAAGGATCAGTATGGGCTGTTCTAGCATTTAGCTCTGAAATCATTATAACTGGCTGTGCTGATCAGAAAGTTCGTATTTTTCATAAAGCGGGAAATCTGTTAAAAGCATTCCAAGCCAGCAAATCCCCCGTACGAGCTTTGTGTCGACTGCCCAAAGATCACGTTTCGGGTGGTGACTTTGCTTCAGCAGACAATGATGGGGTTATCCGGTTTTGGACATTGGCCGGTAAACAGGTGGATGAAGCACGCGGTCACGAAAGTTTTATATACTCCTTGGCATCACTTCCAAGCGGTGAGATAATTAGTTCCGGGGAAGACCGAACGTTACGCATATGGAGAGGTAATGAGTGTATTCAAACAATCACACATCCAGCGGTCTCTGTTTGGAGTGTTGCCGCTTGCCTTGAGAATGGAGACATCGTGTCTGGGGCTAGTGATAAGATAGTAAGGGTCTTTACAAGAAGTGCGGAGCGAATTGCAGATGAAGAGACAATGAGAGATTTCGAGTCAGCAGTAAAAAGCACCGCTATTCCTCAGCAGACAATGCCTAGCATTAATAAAGAGAAGTTACCGGGACCAGATTTTCTGAAGACGAAATTGGGAACGAAAGATGGTCAGGTTCAAATGATACTGGAAGAGAATGGCTCAATCTCTGCACACACATGGTCCAAAGCCACTGGCCGATGGACAAATGTTGGTGTCGTGGTTGATGCTGTCGGTAGTAATGGAAATAAGAAGTTTTATAATGGCCAAGAGTTTGATTTTGTATTTGATGTTGACATGGAAGATGGGAAACCACCTCTCAAGCTTCCATATAATCTTTCAGAAAACCCTTACGACGCTGCAAATAGATTTATTAAAGACAATGAGGCACCTTCCACATACCTGGAGGAGATAGCAAGCTTTATAATTAAAAATACTCAAGGATCAACTATTGGACAAAACCAGCAGCAAGCTTCAGCTGATCCCTGGGGGAGCGATGAACGTTACCGTCCAGGAGATGGTAAATCAACAGCTGATAACGCTCAAAATATTAAACCTTCTATTCTTCCTCAAAAAAGCTATCTTAGCATCTTAGCTACGCATCGTCAAACCATTTATAACAAAGTAAAAGAAATTAACTCGGCATATCTAGCAGACAGCCAAAAAGAAGTTGCTCTTCACCAGGGTGAAGTAGAATTTCTATCAGTCCTCTGCGCGAATCTAAAAGATCCTACAGCAGCTAATGTATCAGTACCAGAAATTCAAGTCGCGATCAAGATTGCAACGAGATGGCCATACAAAGATCGCCTTCCTGGTCTGGACCTAATTAGGTTAGTGGCTGTCGGATCCGAAGCTGCTACCTATAAGAATGCGGAAGATGTTAATTTAGTGGATTTGATAATAAACGGAGCTTCGAATAACACGCCTGTGATTGAAACACACATCATGATGGCCATTCGTGCCTTGGCAAATCTTTTTATTTCAGCTGAAGGAAGAAAACTGGTAATGATTGAATTCAAGAAAATACACGACTTCATTTCTTCTTCAACTAAGGCAACGTCAAATCGTAATCTCTTAGTTGCAGCGACAACTGTGTATATAAATTACTCTGTAATTTACACTGAAGGTGCAGAAGAACTTGACCCAGATATATCTAATGCTATCGTAGAAGTACTGGGAGAAATTCTCAGCAACCAGAATGATTCGGAAATCGTTTATCGAGCTTTAGTTGCCTTGGGATCGTTTGTAGCCACGTTCAAAGACATTCGGAGCAAATCTAGCAACTCTAGTGGAATAGTTTCAATCGTTCAGAAGTCCATGAGCAAGGCAAGCGATCCTCGGATCCGAAATGTAGGCCAGGAACTGCTTGATATGCTAGCGTAAGGTATATGGATCGAGAAATAAGCAGTGATATCAAATCTTGGTCACTAGTCTCTAAAAGCACGATTATCAAGTTTGTAGGTGGGTGTTATTTATACAGGCAGGTCTTCAAGTGTATGACTTCAATTTGTGTCAATGAGGAAACATGACTCCTATCAAATCTTCAATTCCAGAAAACATGGAGCCATGACTTGAACATTAAACTAGAGATGTCTAACAACCCGCTTACGGGGCTTGTAGTATCTGTGATGTTCAGTAAACCGAGTGATACCTGTAGTCTAAGCTGGCTAGAGAGCCAGCACTGAATTTCTTGGCATTCTTGAACAAGAACATCCAACCACGTTCCAGTATTCGTTTACTTTGCGGATTCTGCTGATAGAATAATCGAAGCCCTGACAGAGATGACCAGGAACCTTTTGTTGTAAATGCACTTTTCACAAAACAAGTTAATCATCGTCTACGCAGTGTAGCATGCAGAGCCATGGGAATGGAACCAGATTAGTGATAGATTAGGTACCGCCGACCACTACACTCACCCGTAGACCACTCCTAACATAGAATAGTTACGGCGCTATCTGGAAGTGTGTGGGATTGGTTATTATGATTATGATTATTACGATTATTAATTCATTTTATTGTCCTATCAGAGCCTTTGACTATGTAGGACATGCAAGTCCTCTCTGCCTACAGGCCAAGGATACCTATGCCTGTAGTAAACCCCATGCTATGCCTCTCATTAACAGTCTCTTAAGGAAGGCAAAGGTAAAATTATCAAAATGACTGGGGTTTGATCCCTATACTTGTCGATTAGATTGGTTTAGTCTTCATGCAGGCCCATGTCTAGTTTATTGGCTAGTTATGCAAGCAGGAATACTATCCAATGACATTCCGTGAAAGTCTAAATTATGGGGATGGATTTCAACTCGATTGGAAAAGTACAATGGTCCTCGTTTAAAATTCAAAATTAAAAAAGTCAATTGATATTCTCTAAAAATACACATCTATTTCAAAAATTATTGCTCTGTATTACAAAAGTCTACATCGAAGCCCTCAATGTGGCTCGCAAATAAAATGAAAGCGTACTACATGTTTTGAATTAGTCTTCTCCATCCTGATACTTTGTGTGCCCTCTATTTGTATTTATCACTGCTACACATCTTTCGTGCGTGCTGCCAACTAGTGACAATAGCTCCTCAGAAGGTATAGGTTCCCATGCGACCTGCAGCAATGTTTTCAACGTGGCAGAGCGCACAAGCCTGACCCCATTTATCTCAGGACTATTTAGCTAAATGTGATTTTTTAAGGAGTTCCCACAATGAATCGATCGGGTTCAGGTCCGGAGAGTAAGGTGACGATCTAATGGGCATTCTTCCAACTTCACGCAGCGCCTCAATTGTTGAGTACGCTTTATGACATGGTGCATTGTCGTGCATGTTTAGAATTTCTGTATTTTCCACGTGAAATTGATTCAAAAGAGACTAAATCCTTTCATAAAAGGATGAGGGCCTCATTGATTCCCAATCCTTCTCCCAGACTAGGAATGGGCCTTTTTATGATCCGTAAAATGATCCCTAAACATCCAACTGTTCCCATGAGCATGGCGAGCCACAATACAAGTCTCATCAAACTCATCATCAGGCTTCACTCTGCTGTTAGTACAAGGAAGATTTTGATAGAATTTATACGTACCTTTCCTGTGACAGGAGGTTTTATATGAGTATCACCCGATGCCAAGGTTTCATCAGTCTCTAGTATGCGACTCCGTTGTTCATCGCTCCAATCTATATGTGATTGGGCGAACTCTAGTCTTTTTTGCTTGTTCATCGCGCTTAACGGAGGCTTCTTCCGAGCAATGCATCTGCTGTAACCTCTTTTCTTGCGTGCATTAGAAATAAGACGTTCACTGCATCCCCAATGGCTAGTTCCGCATAGCACATCTGTCGATTTACAGGAGATTCCCGGACGAAAACCTCAAGCTCATCAACTTGATCCGCGCTTAATTTTGGTAAGAATCCTCTGCGATGCATAGGATTCTCAGTCTCTCGAGCAAACGCAAGTTGTTCTTGTCTTATTGTGAAGCCAAGTTTGTCAGATATATTTTGAAGTGTCAAGCCAAGTCTTCTTAATGCTCTTATTTCTATACATTGATCGCGAGTTAGATGCTTGCGAACTTTAGTTTCTGAAGCAGACTTTTCGAGAGACATTGTTTGCTAGAATAGAGGATGAATTGATAGTGGTGAGAAATTTCAGTGATTGTGTAGGCTTGGCAGCCAAAAATGTTGTTGAAAATGTGTTTTACTAAGCGATTATTAGAAGACGATTGGACCATAATGCATAGCGAGCGGGGTAAGGAGGAGAGACAGTCTAACTTATTGCAAGCTAGCTCAGCTGCGCCTACAGGGCTAATCCATTAAACAGCCCAGTTCGAAATTTCACCTTTTCCAACATAGAGGTACTGTAGCTCCCCTCTCCAGCCAACGAAACGATGGCCATTTGCGGGTTTATGGCAGCCAGGAAAAATCGCAAAAACCACTGGGTTCGGAGCTCTCCTGATACCGACATTAGGACTAAATCCGAAGACATAGTGATCCTTCTGATGCGTTCGAAGAGGCCGGCCAGCTGGGCGCTGCAGACTTGTGGGTACCTCGGGAAATTCACACTCTGCCTTTCTAGCCTCCTTCCAACTCTTTCCCGAAGGTCGTGCTGAAATGTCAGAAAAGTCTTGACAGAGCGTGATTGCTGTATGGCAGCTTAGCCCAACTTCTTTTGTACCGTCCTGGGCGCTGGGGAGTGCCGTTGACTCATTGACAAAAGAAGTCCTCCTGGCTAATTAGCCGAAATCTCGGTATTGGTGCCCACAAAGAATCCAAAGTTGAAAACTCCTCGAAAATATCAGTCCCAGCATGCTCTTCAGAGACCTCTTTCCCCTCTCGCTCCACATCTCAGCCGCCTGTTCTTCCTCAAGTTGTTTGTCCCATTAGAGCAACAGTCCCCCAGAAGCCATGACCCAGGCTTTGTATTTTTCGACTTGATTTCCTCCTTGCGGGTATAAATAGCGTTGTAAATTTGTAGTGAGTGATGATCAGTAACAAATGAGGCAAGCTCCTGCTTTCAAATGGAGTAACGCCTTAATTGGTCGTTGAGGCGAGATGATATGTGGTTAGATCGAGGTCGAGGACTTAGATGAGTATGTTAAGAGAGGCATTGTCGAGAAGTCGTCAAATGGAGATATGCCTGAGGTTGCTTTCGACACCGATTCGGATGCGATTCTCCTTGGCTTTTTTTTTGGTATCAGATTTTAATTGCGTATGCAGCTATCTAGCTATGACACAATATCAAAGAAAAGTACAGAAAAGATGACTCAATTTATAAGAAGAATACCCATGCCGCGGATTTCATTTGCAAGTACCACGATTCTTCTTGGCGGAGGGCAAGACTGAACACCTGTACGCGGTGTCTTCTACGAACCTGGGAGTGAAATATTCTCCCAGAGCCAAGTTCAGTCAAATTTCGCAATATCAAAGAAGTTGGCCCACGAGGCAAAAATCCAAATTACTCATCCACGTCGTTATTTCGCTCCCAACGAGGTTGACTCCTATCTTCGTCTCATCGAGTCTACAAGTACGACCAAATACATCCTCATTCCAATGACCACACCACTCTTCGACCTTCTCTGGCCTCAGCTGGTCACCAACTACACGCCCACGCCGATATTTATACCCGACGGAGGAAGGAAAGCGTGGCGCACAAATCTGGGAGACAGTTCTTTGGTATATATGTGAGAGGGATCTGGACAAGTTGACAAGATGATGCGGAAGACGGATATAACCTCGAAGGGCATGAGATTCCGAATTTTGGCAAGGAGTTTTTCGAATTGGGCTTTGTGCGCGCCAAGACTTCGCTTGCGAGAGTGCAGCTGACACTATAAAAACAAGCAGACGATGGAAGGTGTCGTGGTCCGCCTCCTGGTGGTGCTCTCTGGTATAGTTTGAGTAGCCTGGGCACCTACTCCACTTGGGAAGGAGATACCTTAGATCATATTTCGCGCGGAGAAAAGTTGAAAGATGATGGAGGCATGTCTGGATAACTCAGGGTTTTTGAGACGTTCCCCTGGGTGGGTATTCACGAATGAGGGTTGACTTGGGGTGAAGAAAAAGCCACCATAACTTCGCAGTGGTACTTGCAAATGAAATCTGAGGCACGAGTGCTCTTCCTTAACGATGAATCATCTATTCTGTACTTTTCTTTGATATTGTGTCATAGCTAGATAGCTTCATACGCAATTAAAATCTGATGCAGAAAAAAAAAAAGATTCTTCTTGGCTATTCCTGGTATGGAGAGCATACTGAGCGATTACACCGGCACCACTGGAAAGTGAATTAGATTAGATTTGTATTATAGTCCTAACTGAGTCAATGACTATGGAGGACTACTGGAAAGTGAAGAATTCGACTTTGCCGCTCTGCACACTGCACACAATATTCTATATTCAACATTTTAATTTCTTTACGACGTTGCTCGGTTCTCTTATGCATTTGCTGCGCGGGATAGTATGATATTGGGTGCAAACCTTAGTACAATAGAAGGTTGCGTTTACAGTCAGACCCCTGTTAAGACGATATTGCCGTTTATACGATATATTTTCCGGAACGGACTCTGTTCCCATACATTTACCCATCACTCGATTATCGTTCTTCAACCTCTGAATATTATCATAACCAGGTTTTTTAGTTAGATCGATGCTTATAATGCCGCCAAAAAGGGAATATCTATAGAGCAACGACGTGCTCTGCGACAATGGACGCACCGCCAGGCCCCAAAACCAACACAAAAACAGTGCATTGAGTGGTTCTTAGCTGAGTACGGCCATCAATTAAGCCATTCCACAGTCTCCGAGTCCTTGAGCAAGACCTTCGCGAAACTCGACGAAACTACAAGCACTACTGCGCTACAACAGCGAGCTGGAAACTGGCCTGACCTCGAGAGTATTAGAGCGAGTAAAA